GGGGGGTGGGGGGAGGGGTGGGCTGGGACCCAGTCATCTGGGCTCTATTTATGCATTGGTACACCCCCAAAAATGCTTCTTTAAACCCAGAGCCCTTTAAGATGATAAAGGACCCTATGCAGGTAATCATGTGTCTTTAGAATCCTGTAATTGTAGAATGCAAAGTTTAGTGATTATTTAAACTGGGCCGAGGCTGGTAAACCCTTGGAACAATTACCCATAAGGACTTTTAAGCGCCAAAGCCAAGGAACCACCTCCCTTCCTGGTCTGCTCAGCCCAGGGGACCTGCCTCCATTCCTGTGGCCCAGGGGCTCAACTTCAGACCAGGGGGCAGTGTCAGAAGTGATTGGTGACTTTGCCCAGGCTGTGAGATGAGTACATTCCAAAGGAGCAGCCTCAGGGAGGGGGCAGGCTCTTGATCCCTTGGAAGCTCAGAGCAGTGGACCCAAGCTCCAGCTTGCCTCCAGAAGCTCAAGCGTCCTCAGAAACGACCCTGGCCAATGTCACTGCAGAGCTGAGGCGGTGTTGTCAGGGCTAATGTGAAATCTCTTCCCGTGGCGCCAATCCTCCGGCTCTGCAGCGCCAGCTTGGACAGATTGAGGTCTCTGTGGCTTTGCTGACCCTGCTTAAGCATTCCCACCGTGTCCTAGCTCTGCTCTCCTTGTGTCTCCCAGTGCAGCCCCCCTCACCAGACTTCAGGGCCTGGGGATGGGGCTTTTGCTCAGGAGACATCAGACTTCCTAGGGGTATCAGGCTTTGAGCTCTACTGGGGTCTGGCTGACCTGGGAACCAGGTGTTACCCAGAGATGCACTTTGTTCTGTGCCTCAGTGGGTGCTAGGGAACAGTGTTATTGTATTAACTTTACTCAGTTCACTCGAGAAACTAACCAATTTTTACTTACTGTCTAGAATGACATGTAGGAGAGTGACGGTAATGCTCCCAAAGTGCCTTCTTTTCTCTGACATAAACACTTATACGTACCTATTCCAGTGGATTCTTGGGTGTCTTTGCCACATCAGGATTTCAGGGAGTGAGCACATAACATAGTGGGGATACAGTCTGAAAATGGGTCCCTTTTCCCTGAGTATGGGAAAGGAACATCAGTTAAAGACCTGAGCAGTGGGGTTAAGCCAAACACCTAAGTGACCCTTTCCCTTTGCCCTACTACTCCCAGGTCCTTAGAAGGATGTCCAGTTTTTTAAAGCCCTGTGGCTCCAAGCCTGGTCTCATTTGCTTCCCTGTCAGGCTCACGTATACCGCATTAGTTCCCCAGTGACCTGAAGATTCCATGTAACTGTATACACGTGAATACATAAATGCCAATGTTTTAAATAATTTGATAAAATCTTTGTAGCCACTCAGCCACCTCTGGTTGTGTGTGTGCGTGTGTGTGTGTGTGTGTGTGTGTGTGTGTTTAATGGGAGAAGTGCTTAGGCAACTTTGAGAGCCACAGGTGGTGGCCAGAGCCCCAGAGGGAGGTCCAGTGTGGGTGGGCTCAGAGGGCAGCAGGCCTCTGGGTGTGGATGGTGCACCCTGTTCGGGAGGTGGGGATGAAGGCTGAAAAACATTTTGATTTAGCAGGAAACCCAAATTGGGGACCTAAACACCCCAATCCCCAGGCTTCCCTCAGCTAGCCGAGGGAAGTATGCTGGGACCAGGGGAGATGAGCTGCTGGTAACTCCTTGTGTCAGGCAAGAGAGGAGCACAGGCTGAATGCTGATGCTGCCTCCCAACATCTGGCCGGCATCTTGTCTGCTGCTCAGACCCAAGCAACTTACCTTAAATAGAATGATTTACAATGGAATCCAATAAAAGGTTTAGGCTGCTGCACACCCCTCTCCCAGGCGAGGGGGCTGGGTTTATATTCTGACCCAAAAAATGACCTACCCAGGAAGCAACGGTTGTGGTTGTACCGAGCACAGCTGCTGCGGGTAACTGTCCCTGGGGATAATTTACGAACAGACATCCAGTTCCGGGCCCAGCAGAAGAAAGGGGCAGGAGGAGGGTTGGTGACTCCGCTGGTCATACCTGCTGTTCAGAGAGAGTCACCCACTGGCATCCCGGGAGAAGGGGCAGAAGTTTTGAATTGTCAACAACTGCGCCAGCCGCTCAGCTCATTGCCGAAGGTGGGAGTGCAGGGGAGGGGGCTTGGGAGCCGCTGGCCCCTGTGGAGCCCCTCACTCCACCCTCCTACTCAGGCCTGTGTTTAGTCAGCACTTGGCTTCTCAAGGCTGGTGACTGACAGGCAGCCAGCCGCCCGCCCTGGGAGAAGACAAAATGGTGGTGCCGGGAGCCGCCCTTGCTGGGGAATCGGAGGGAAGGAATGTGGTTCTGGGAAGCAGGAGGCCCAACCTTAAATTTCGGCTTCTCCACTTGGAGCTGTGAGCCTGTGCAGGTTGCTTCACCTCTTGAGCCAATGCTGAGAATAAGAAGCATTTACTGAGTGCCTACTACCTGCCCCAATCTGCATACATTTTATTTCAACCTTATAAGGCAAGCAAGGGTCCCCCTTATTATACATGAGAAAAACAGGTTCAAGGGGGTAAAGTGAATTTGCCTAAGATCACATAGCTGGCCAGAAACAATGCCACATTTCGAGCATGGGTGTCCAGCCAGAGCTCATTCTCTGTTCATGCAACTTAAACAGCTTTCAGAATCTCTACATCTAGAATCAAGGTCTTTAGTGTCCTAAGGGGTATGTTAAAGGTTTTCCCTTCTTGTCTACCCACTTCCAGGTAATGGTTAATTTTGTTTTTGCTTTGAAATCAAGTGAGCTAAACTGAGATCCCAGCTGTTGTAGACCTTTAGAGTTGGAAGTACTTGCACCCTAAACTTCCTCTAGGTACCAGATAGGGCTTCCCACAGACACACACTACTTAGTATGTGCACACACACCTGTTCAGATGCACACTCATGCACACTCAAATAGACATCAATTCATGTGAGTGGGCACACGAGAACCCAGGCCCAGGGACACTGGCATACACGCAGAGCCGTGCTCTTGTGCAAACAAGGACACAGATCCGCACACAGTTACAGGGATACACATAATCACAGGCAAACCTCACAAAAAGTGCTTGGGAGCCACCCCTCCCTTCACACTGCCAGTTTCTCACTGCCCCCTCCTGGCCACCCAGTGGCCAGGGCAATCTGGCTCTATTTCCTGGAAGTTCTATGGGTGGTTGTCAGCTAGTTCCGTGCTAGATCACAAGACTCAACATTTTCGGGTGCTCACCATGGACTACCTCTCAGCCCCAGGAGATGAGGGTGCCTAGAGAGGGTTCTGTAGCTGGAGGACAGAAAAGGCCTTTCACACCCAAAGAAGCCACGTGGTAGAATTGTCAGTACCAGGGTGCCAGGAGTCCTGCATAGCGCACTTCCGTCTCAGCAGTCAGTATCTCCGCCCTTACCTCGGCAGCTGTGCACACACTTGCTCACATACATACGTAGAGAGGAGCAGACTTACTGGCTGAGGTCAAAAGTCAGCTCTTTAGGCTCTCACCTTGCCGTTCCCTTTGTGGGCCTCACCTATTCAGTGAGGAGTTGACCGTGATGACATAAGCAGGCCTTTCCACTCTGGCATCTCATCGTCTTGAGAACTAATACCTCCCCCAGATGTGTGTGCCTGAGTAAAGCACATTCATAAAGATGACCCCATGGACTCCTCAGACCAGTCCTAGGAGGATTACCAACACAAAGCTTTTTATTCCTATTTTACAGTTGAGGAAAAGGCACAGAGAGGCACAGCAACTTGCCCAAAGTCACACAGCAAGTGGTATCAGGCATGGAAATAGAAACTCCCTTTCCAATGCCCCAGGTTGCCTACAACAGAGTAGAATACCCTGTGGGCTTGGTCTCAGAGCCAAGGAGACAGGAACTACAGAGGCTAAAGCCAGAAGCTCTGCCCTTCTGTCTGGGAGCCCTGAAGGCTAAGACGAACTCAGAGGAGGACCCAGGCTTAGGCATTAACATGGACGTAGAAAAAGGCAGCTTGGAACCTGGGTGGGTTCCCCCCATTCCCATCCCC